AGAGAGAGAGAGAGAGATGTGTGTATGCAATTGCAGTCTGTCGTATGCAGATGCCAACCACTTCCCTCTCGCGTATATGATCGAGATGTGATCCGAATATTATGATCCGTATATCTATAGATATACATGTAGCACGTATGCAAAGATGCTCACACGATCTTTTTTCCTATATATTTTTTTAAAAAATATAAGGATTTAATGTGTCAGTTTCAATACGAATATTGTTAATAGAATTGCGAATGGATTTTCACAAATAATAAATTGATAATGGTAATAATAATACGATATATAAATCTCACACATGTCACAATAATTCTTCAACTCTTTTTACACATACAAATTTTTAAATATCAGTACACACGGTTATAACTGTAAAGTTAATTAAAAACTTTTATCGAGAAGTTAACGTTATAATATGTCGTTCATGATGAATTACCGTTCAAAATATTTAATAAATGGGTAAGAATATATACGGATCACGTATATGCACGTGCGCGTGCTCATCGCAGAGAGAAAGAGAGAAAGAGAGAGAGAGAGAGAGAGGCTGTATATTGTCGCTGAATGCAAATTCCGGCAAATTTCTTCTCTCGAAGATTGTACGTGCCACGACGCGTAAGTGAATCCGTGGAAAAGACATCCTGGAAATCATTGCCAAAATGTTCTAGTACGCGATTGTATATGGACATACATGCAGTTGCGGCCTGTCGCACACAGGCGGCGGATCATTTCTCATTTTCCTGTGTTATGTATGAATGTATGCATGTATGCATGTATGCACGCGTCCATTCCTCGCTCAGGATTGGTTTTCGAAGAGTGCAAGGGAGAGAACACTCTAAATATTTGGCAACGAGTTGCAGCTACGGATATGATCCCAGTGTGTTATTATCATTACCTCGATAAAACCCCGATGTTCTTTTAGGGCCAACTAGCCCAAAGCCAAAACTATTTGTTTAAACTATCAGGAACTCTAGAACTATTGAAAATATAGTCAGAACTCTTAATTATTTGTGAGTTTTCGCGAAATGATACGCCCGCTTCACACACACAGATTCTTCCTTTAGAATGTGCAATGGAACGAGATGCAAATGTAGAAAAATAAAAATGAAAGAATGCACTTAATGAGAAATTGTTCTTCCCTAAACGGAGCCGCGCTAAAAATAAATAATTAATTGCACGATATCTCTCGAGATAATATTTAGAATAGCAAGAGGCGAGAAACACATCGACAAGGAACAACAAGACTACAAGGGATATTAAGCGCATCGAACGTTTCGTGAATAAATGTTATATGATCACGAAATAGTCTCGAGAGACACTAATAAGCGATAATCACCGGAGAGATTAAACGCCTCAATAACTAACCCACCAGCGCGCTTCATCAAACGTTAATCCTTCCGAAAACCACCGATGTAGTTAA